ACTTGTAAAAAGTCTCATTGGTGTATCGAAATTATATGGTAATGTTATCTCGGAACCTCCTTCCATGAAAGCGATAGATCCATTAATATGATGGAAATTATTAATATTAAATCTAAATGTCTCACTTTCCAAGTCAATCAGCACATTATCGGAAATCCTTGATACAGAAGTAACAAATCTAATACTCATAGGCTTCGATAAAACCTGAGAATAAGATGTTAGTTTTGATATAAAAGCTAAATCATTTCCACAATCTCTTCCTGTGAAACTAGAGTTGAAACAAACACAAAAATCTTTCATAGTGCAATTACCGTGACCATAACAAACTTGTGGATCTTCAGATTTCACACCAAAGCAAATTGGCAATGAACAATTCTGACCATAATATCCTTCTTGACAAGTGCTGACATTGAAAACAACAGAAGGTGAGGTTGTTTGAGGTCCAATTCCACCACATGAATATCGATTTTCTGGTAAAGAGCAATCTGGTGAGCTTGATGTGAATGTTGCGTTGTCCATGCTGTTGAAGAATGATGATGCATTGTTGGCGGTACAATTGCCTTCGGCGTTGCTGCATGTTGTTGTTGAAAGTTGAGTTTGGCAATTACTTCCAACAAATCCAGGTGAACACGAACAATGATTTGGTGACACACACTCTCCATGTCCTGAACAAACATTGTTTCCATCATTTGCACCAAAACCAAAACAAACTGGCACACTGCAATCAGATCCAGTGTAATTAGCATTACATTGACAAAAATCGTTTCCGAAACATGAACCGTGTCCACTACAGGCGTTTGAATCTCTCAATGAAATTCCAAAACAATTGAAAACTTTCTTAATCGTAGAGATAGTATTGATGTGGTCAAAGGTAGCGCCAACATCAACCTTTCCGATCATGATTTCATCGATATATCCAAAAGAAGAAGAAAATGAAACATAGCTGTTCCCATTTTGGGATTCTTCGAGAGAAAAATAGTCATCAAAATTTCCCCAGTTGTGCTCGAAACGAGAATTCATGTACAAACTTGTTCCATTGGAGCTAGATTTGATCAGTAAAATATTGTACCAAATATTTGGATTGTCCAACAAGTTTGTAAGTTCAATCATGTCAGGAGTTGACTTTTGTCTAGTAAAGCCCGACAAAAACAAAGAGGTCTTCTTCATATAAATTTTCCAATTTGCGAGATTGTTGATCACAACAATTGGTTTTTCAGTTTCATCATATGTTCTGGGGAATAGTTTGAACGATACGAACCAGTCATTGAAGAGCATACGTGGCAAAGAATGATATGTCGAATCATCAAGCCTACTTAAACTGTTGGCAAGTCCACCAACTTGATACAAGCTCGTATTGTCGTTACTTTTTGAGAGAAATCCGAGAATGAACTCTGTCTTATTCCAAGAAGCTATTTCTTGATCAATACTTGTCTTGTATGCTTTATCTATCTGGCAATTTTCTCCTTCATGATTCACATCGCACACACAAAAATTCTTCATGGTACAATTACCGTGCCCACTACAGACTGTGCTATTTTCTGCTTGTATACCATAACACATCGGTTTGCAAACGGTACTGTTGGGCTCACCGTAATATCCATCTTCACAAATACTAATATTAAAAGATACATTTGATGAAATCATTTGCTCATTTAGCAAATTTTGACATAGTGCTGATGGACTAACAATGTCTCTGCACTGTTGTGCAGTGTTTTGATTGATATTTGAATCAATTGAAACACAGCCAGGAGTGGTCAAGTCTGTACATGGATCTGGTGGTGTAAAGTTACCTGGAGTTGCATTATTGGAAATTGTACCATTTTCATTATACATGTACATGGTTGATCGATCCAACTCACATTGAGTGCCCATAAAAGGCTCAACACAATCACAAGTGTCAATATCGGTACAGTGTCCATGTCCTGAACAAACCCTAGTTGTATTTGATGCTGAAATATTGAAACAAAATGGAATTTCACACATAACACCCTCAGATGCAAAACATTGACAAATATCTTTGCCGTGACAAACTCCTCTTCCAGAGCATACAGAGGCATCTGTGTTGGAAATGTTAAAGCAACTCCAAAGAAGAGGATCATAACCTGTGTTGATAGCATCGATTGAATTTAGTCCATAACGAATGTAAATACTTTCAATAACCACATTTTGGTAATCTCCACCAAGAGTGCTTGTTCTTCTTTGGCTGGTAATAAAATCTTCTGTTGCATCTTTGAACTCTCCGACAAGAGAACCATCAATAAACACAGAAATACCACCAACAGAACTCTTTTGAAAATGAATATCATAAACATGGTTTGGAAGAACTAAAACAAGAGTCATAACTAATCTTCTCTCAACAATAGCATCAACATTGGTTTCAAGAACCAAGTCATTTCTTTCTACATGTAAATTCCATCCAGCAATATTATTGAGCAGAATTAAAGTTTGATTTGAGTTAAAGGTACTGAATGAAACTCGAAAATGAACTATAAAGTCGTTGTAAAGCAATGTGAAAGGGGAAGTGTCTCCTCCTAAACTGGCACTAATGGCACCAGCATTTGTATAAAACGATGAGACAAAGTTTGTTAATTTAAAGCCTGAATTGCCAGCCTCCATGACTGCACTTGAATCAATGAATTTCACATTATTGAAAATAAATCTCAATTCAAAAGATCTTCCAAATCTGGATGAAAGATCATTCACAACAGAATTTTGAATGGCACAATTTGAGCCAGAAAATCCAGCCATGCATGTGCAATTATTCAATGAGGAACATGTACCATGAGATGTACACACATTAGAGGCGGTATTTAAAATTCTAAAGCAGGTGGTAAATTCACACTCATTTCCAAAATACCCCTCAGCACAGTTGCACATATCAGAAGCCGAACACAATCCTCTACCATTGCAAACATAAGGATTAACTTTTCCAAAACAACCTGTATCACCGAAGAAAACTTGATTCATCTGGTAGTCCATGAATGGAGTGAAAGAAACTCTAAAATTGTCAATCATTCCATGTAAGTAGCTACTATTGGTAACAACGTCAAAACCTATGGAAGAAGCAGCCTTTTCATTGCCTCCTGACGATGGAATATCTTCAATGAAGGAGGAATTTGCAAAAACAACAGTCATGTTTACATTTAAATGTAAACCACTCGTTGATGTTTTGTTAACTGTAACTAGAAAATATTCATCAGTATTAGCTCTGAAAGAGCTAGTTAACAAGCCACCAGGATAATTCATTTTGAGAATATTGTCGGCATCAATAAAGAGTTCCCATCTAGTTTCATCATCTATTGAAACAATTGTTTGTCTAATGTCCGTAGCAGTCAACTTTAACCAGAGTGTAAGTGTAAAATCATTGTTGAGTGATGTCAAGTAAGAATATCCTTCAAAAAGAGAATAAGATGTTCCGTCAAACACAAGGCATTCACCACCATCAGGTAAAAAGCTTGGTTGAACTTTTGCGTTTTGGAAAAACGAAGTGAAATTCTGATTGTTATCAACAAAATAAATTCTGTCAAAAATAGGATCATAGATCAAGTTGTCAAAGTTGTATAATGTTCCGGTTGATGGCATTGGAGACATTTTTCTCAAATTCTTGAGATAAAAGTCTGACCTTACGAAATCAAAAGTACAGACACTAATACTTTGAAGAAAGTCACCAACTGATTGACATGGTAGTGAAGATCCTGTTGTTGTTGAGGGTATTGTACCTTTGTAAGTGTATCCACTAGTACCTGATGATGAATCATATTCCTGAGAGCATTGACCCTGTAAATTCAAAACACAAGTTGGTTGAGGACCTGTAGTATTCGCAGTAATTGTTTCATTACATTGGATACCTTCAAAGCTTGCGTTGCATGTACAAACGTCAGTACTTGTGCAATTTCCATTACCGCTACAGACACTTGTGTTGTCACTCGAAATGCCAAAACAAATATATATGGGTGTCTCACAAAATGTTCCAGTGTAGGGAGAGAAACATTGGCATTCATCCATTCCGATACATTTTCCATGGTAGGAACAAAAATCATCGGCATTGAGTTGATCTTTAAGTGAACAAGCAAATTCCTTGTTCGCTTGTTCATTGAATGAATTGGATACTACAGAGGTGTTGTTATCATTTTTCCAAATGATCAACCTGTCCAAATAACTGTTCAAGTAATTTGAACCTCCACCATTAAGTGATGGTTTGTTTCCAAGTGTTAAATATTCAAATGAATCGGATGATTGTAAACCAGTATTAGGATCAGTGTACTTTTCAAAGTTATTGACTCGTAAAAAATCATAAACAACGGTCTGGTTATTGATTAGAATTTTCAAACCATCTCGCGAGTTTTTGCTGATGAAAATTTCATAAAAACCATCAAGAGTTGGAGTGATTGTTGTTGTGTTGAAAGATATTTTTTGCGGAATTGAATTGGAGTGTTCCCTCTCCCAACAATCAAAAACAAAATATCCCTTGTTCGACATTGCCAGTCTCCATTTGGCTCCGCTATTCAAATTCAAAATGTCTTGGAAAATTTCATCATAAACACGTTCAAATATTGGTGTGCTGAACCTAATGAACATGTAAAAGTTGTTTCTCAATTTTCTGAACGGAGAATCGAAATCTTGATTGAACAAGTCAATGTAATTTGAAATTCCGTCAAGCTGAACGAGACCATTGTCGCGATTGATGCTACATGTTCTTCCTCCAATTGAAATGTTAAATTTACCTCTCAACTCTCCTGCATATGTTAAGTCTGTAGAAACATATCTCTCGTGGAATCTCCATTTTCTAACAAAATTGTCTTGATTTACATTATCAACGGTTTTCAAGAAAGAACAATCAGGACCGTAATGATTTTGATCGCACTCACATGTGTCAAGAGAAACACAATTACCAAAGCCAGAACAAACAACGGATTGGTTGTCTGCTCTTATCCCAAAACAAGAAGTTGCGCAGTTGTCTCCTATGAATCTGCTATCCTTGCAGAGACACTTATTTTCGCTTAAACAATCACCATAATTGCACAGTGATTCGTTCGTTGAGTATCTGTAACCAAAACAACCATATCCCTTATATCGAAGCGAGGAAATTTCTTGATACGAGAGAACTCTATGGAAAATGTGTATCTCATCAAGTTTACCTGCAAAGAATTCAGACCTTGAATTTGCATTGAATCCTATGGCACTGTTTCCTTCCACCCTTTGTGGATTATTAAGGTCGGAAGCGAATGTTGGTTCATTAATGCATGTAAAGTATTGAGTGGTTGTATTGGATCTTCCAACTAATATTTTAAGACCTGTGGTCATAGTTTTTGAAATGATTACATGATTATAGTCCGAATCGTTCATCACATCAGTTGGAATTGAGCAAGAACTATCGGCTTGCACTTGGCTTTTAAATAAAGCTGTAAAAGAATTGAATGAAAACGACCAATAAGCATCTGAACTGTTGATTGAAAATATGGTTTGTTGAGATCCAATACTAATTGAGTCGAACTTGATCCAAAAGCTAATGGTAAAATTGTTTGACATGTATGAAATGGGACTTTTGTCGAGTGTTATACCGCCATTGCCAGAGAAGGAGAGAGCATTGCCTCGCATTTTGTCCATAGTCTCCAATGTTACGCCACTACCAAGTAATAACTGATAGTCTGGATTGAAACTATCAACAACAAAACTGAATGATCCTACTTGTTTTGTTTCGTTCAAGGTGAAATACATCTTGAAATCTTCAGTGAAAGACCAAGAACTCGTTGCACCACTGGTTGGAATTGAACATAGAGGGTTTGTTATAACATCCAAGGGTGATGTACATGAGGAAGTTCCAGAATCTGCTTGTGCATTACCTAATGCTGATGTTTGTGAAATGGAAGATGAGCTTGTACATTTACCGCTTGCATCCGTAATGCAACTGCTACTTGAAGGAGCATTAGGATCATAGGACTGTTCACATGCGAGTCCTTTATATCCAACATCGCATTTACAACCAAGTGGCTCTATACATTGTCCATGTCCGCTACAAACACCATACATTCCAATTGCAATTCCATTGCATGTAAATTGTTCACAATTAGTGCCATTGTAATCAGGATCGCACATACACACACCGGCCTCGGTACACCAACCGTGACCCGAGCAAACTAAATTGTCTGTTGAGAGTCTTCCGTTACAAATTGGTAAGGAATTCACATTGCCTACTAGAATACTAGTACTTGATAATACTAACAACAAGCAACAACAATAGAATAATGACGCCATAAACATGGAACGGAGAGAAAAATTATAGGAGTTGTAATTGATACGTTGTGTTGGGATGGAGGAGTTAATTGCCCAACCTTCGGATTGAGGATAGTGTTGATGATGATGAATCGTATCACCCATATTATCAAGATTCATCACCTTAATACGGCAGCCTCTCTTATGAATGTTGGTATAGGTCTTCATGAACGGATCACCACTTTGCTGTTGTTGATAAGATTGTTTGTTGTTGGTGGGAGTCCCACTCATTTTTCTTTTGTGTGGAGCAAGTGTTTACGGCGGTTCGAGGCTTTTCCCTGCCTTCTCTATGCAACCACCAACCTACTACTGTAAATTTGTGATTTTACAGTAGTAGGTTGGTGAGCGCAGCACACACAAAGAAAAATGCCAACAACAATGGCAAGCAGTCCCCATCGTTTCGGGACAATAGCTGTCGGTAAGTCGTCGGTTCATAATGGTCGATGCCAACGTTGAATGATAATGTGCCTCCATTACACTAATTGGTATCTGTTGTTGTATCTATTCAACTTCCCATTCCAACAAGCAGCTTTAATGATGTTAATTCTTTCATGTTTTATTGCAATCATCACGGCACAAGACGAAAATGGGGTGAATATGGCCTCTACCGAACAAATGCAACAATTAAAGGCTCAAAAATCTGTCCATCTCAATTACTTGGAGGTGGCTGGAGTACTGAAAACACAAGCAGACGAATTAACAGCATCACAAGCAAAGAAGAAACTTTTAGATACAAAGGAGGCCATTGAATTGTCCGCACCATTCCTCCAAGCTTTGAACGTTACAGAAGATCAATTTGTTGCCATGCTTTCAACGAAACAGACTCAGCTGCAAAGTGTTATGAGTTTGGACTTGGAATTGAACAATTTACTTGCCCTTACCCAAAATTCTGCCGACATGGTTGGAAAGAACATCAAAGATTTTGTCAGTGTAAGTATTTGTGTGCTATGATCACATTCTTCAGCTAAGGAATGTGAATCATCAACTACTGTTATCTATTGTGGAATGACTGCAACATTTTGAACATGCCTTAATCCATCTTGAACATTTTCCTTCATGATCATTATCGAAGGCGTTCACTAAAAAAGCATACACCACAGAAGAGTATTACACCACAAGTAAGGAGGCAATGAATGACACTGTCATTCTCACTCCTATGGATTCGATCCTTCCAAATTTTGGTTGGAACAACCAAGTTCGACGAATTAGAAACCGTCTCGCTGTTGGTTTGAAACATGTATTGATGTTGGGTCAAAATGGAAAGCTATACTCTACTGGAATCGCATACAATGGAAATCTTGGAAGAACGAATACAGATTCTAGACTCTTGTACAATCTTCCTGTTGAGGGACTTGATGGTTTACAAATTCTTCAATTTGATGCCAACTATTTCTTTTCTTTGGTGCTTACCAATGATGGAGTGTACAGCTTTGGAATTAATGATTACTCTCAATTAGGAACTGGAGACAGAAATAATAGATTAATTGCAGGAAAGGTTTACGGATTTGGATGGCAAACCATTGTACAGATTGCGACCGGATGGAGATCATCCTATGCCATTGATACTAATGGCAAATTATGGGCCTGGGGAGACAACTCAAAAGGACAACTTGGTGACAGAACTTTTTCTGAAAAGAATAGACCATTCCCTGTATATCCTTATGGTGCCATTGGTTCTACTCCTATTGTTAGAGTTTGTGGTGGAGGTGAATTTGCTTTGGCTCTCACCTCCAACAATACGCTTGTTTCATGGGGTGATAATACCTTTGGTCAATTGGGAAATAACAACATGTCAGTCACTATTTCTGGAGAACCTGTACTGGTCTATCAATCAGGTGATTTAGCCGGAAAGGTTATTGTTGACATTCAATGCGGTTATGATTTTTCTATGGTTTTATCAAGCACGGGTGAAGTTTTCTTATGGGGCAAAAATGATTTTGGACAATTAGGAGTGGCAGTTACCACAACTTATTCTGTAGTTCCCAAAAAGTTGACCACTCTTACGAACTGTGTCGCCTCCCAAATCTTTGCAAAACATCATAGCGCGTTTGTTTTATGTACAGACAATTCTCTTTGGAATTGGGGTAGAAATGATGCGGTACAACTTGGAAAAGCAGCATCCACTTACGAGGCACCACAAAAGATCGATCATACACTCTTCCTAACTTCGGATTTCTCTACTCTCGGCTATCCAAAGATTATTGAAATTGCAACCAACAAATTTAACACATTCATGATGACAACCGATTTCAATATTTGGGGATCCGGTACTTGTGGTGATGAAGCTAATCTACAATATGGTTTATTTTATGGTGATTCTACCAGTACTGCTGCCACTTGTTCAAGACAAATTTGCTCCGGACTAACCTGTGCTTATCCTAAAAATTACATCTTGACGACCTCGAATTATGCCAAAATGCCAACATTTAATGATTGCTATCTTCCTCTCCATATGAGAAGAGCTCCTTATTTTGAAATTGGATCCAGAGCTTACTTGTTACAAACTGACAATGTTGTTCCTACTCGTGTTGGCAATGGATTTAACATGTTCTATAAGGAGTTTAATGAATCCGAAGATGCTTGGAACGTATTGGAACGTGATGCTTCCGTCGGAAATGCTTTCCCTGTTTCTCTTTACAATAGTCATTTTTTGAAGTCTAACGAATTTGTTTACTTCTTTGGTGGTTTTGTGAATGATGACTTGTCGAATGCTATATATTCAGCTCCTATTTATGATGTAGAGAATGGATGGCAATTGTTGAATGCAACCTTACCTTATCCTGTTGCTGCTGGAATGACTGCTGTGATCAATGGTTATTTGTATATTTTTGGAGGAATTACCTCAGTTTATACCTATACATCGGGCTCTGCCAAACCAGTTGTTTCTACTTCTGTGACAGACAAGATTATTAGAGCACCTTTGGATAACCTTACAAATTGGATGGTAGTTCCAAAGGTTCTACCCTCGAAGTTACACAGTGGTCATTTGAGTATCATTGACAAGTTTGTTTACATTTTTGGTGGTGCTACGGACTATAGAAAGTCAGATTGGAATATATACAGGGCACTGTTGACTGATCCTGCTACTTGGGAAATGACCTTTGGTTTGTTACCTTTCTATACAGCCAACGCTGCTCTTGTTGCAACCAATTCTCAATTATTCTTGTTGGGTGGTGCACGTGACAGCAACACCAATGCCGGTAATTACATTGCTGTGGGCTACAAATCAGACCCAGTTAAGTCATGGATGGCAAGTGATCGAGTGCTGCCTCCTGATGCATCACAGTCCCTTGTTCCTGTAGTCAGAAATGATACAGTACTGTTGTATGGATCTGAAATTAGAAGATCAACACCATATATGACACAATCTGCAAGGACTGGACGTGTTTTAAAACTTTCTCTTGGTCTTTACTAGTGTAATTATAATAAATATGTCATTCATTAAGTAGTCTCAAACGAACAACGCTGTTTGGGAGTGATACTAAGAATTATGTTCGAAATGATCTGAAACTCACTCCACATAGCTCTCTATTGACAAGAATGCTGATGTTTAAGTTGTTTAGAAAATCAAAAGTTGGGTTTATGTAAATTACAAATTTAACATTGTTATCTTATGAGGACTGTCATTGGCGTTGTTGTGGCGCATCCCACGAAAGAGCTTTCTTGGAAACAAATTCCAGTAGCTACATAGTCCGAACAACAATTTACGACACAACTGGACCAATTACACGTGGACTTCCTTGTTATACCTACTGCATTTGCTCTATATCCCTTGGTTCCTCTGTAAGCATACTCAACAATCCAAAGACCTGCTGAAACAGGAAGGTCTCCATCCCACAATGTTTTATCTGTGAGAGACAATTTGTAGTCGGTAGTGGCATCTAAAACTCCATCAAGGTATCCCGAAAACAAACCTCCACCGTCCATAGTTCCAGCTATTGCCCCATAAACGTAGTATGGGTCTCCAAAGTTAGTGTTTAAGATGTATCCTGATCTGTAATTATTGACAATGACGGCATTGGATGTTTTTCTTTTGAACCAATGTTTTTTGTTGTTTGTGGTAAACATCACATCAGTAAAAGCTACTCTTTTCAGATCTGCAAAATAGCCTTCCTTATCATAGTTTAATCCACTCGAAGGAACTCCAGTTAATAAATTAACTGTGCTATAGGTGGTACCAACAGTATAGTAAACTGTCCATCCACCTCCATCTGTAGTCATGTCACAATAGACCTGCATTGGATTGCTCACCAAGTCTGGTTTAATCCAATACCACCCATCTCCAGTAATACCCTGATAGACGCGTGAAATGTTTGTGGGATTTTTGTATGCATTACAAGAGGTAGCATAGGTACCATCAGAATATTTTCGAATTCCGCTTAGGGCAATAATACCGGATTTTTCGCAATTATCTCCATATCTACCATTGGTGCATTGACATTTATCGTAATCGAGACATTTTCCAGCAGCAGAACAAACATTTGGATTTGACGCTTCAACTCCGTAACAGTAAAAACAAAGTAATGGATATTTCTTGCACCAAGCTTGGGTTCTCGTCGGGTCGTTAATGGCCATCCATGATCCGGTAATGTCACTCTTATTACCATATGCCATGTAAGGGCCTCCAACACCTGTTGTAGCATTGGTTCCTCCAAATGCGTACATTGTGTCGTTTGTGGAGGCAACTTGACCTGTATTAATCATGTAATAAGGAAGAATACCAAAGGTGTGTTCCCAAATCCAAGGAGTTTGAAGGGTTGCCCTGAAAATATTAATTTGTGAAGTTCCAACACTTCTTGAGCCACCAAACAAATAGACATAGTTGCCAACAATTTCCCAAAATGCAGAATGAATAGGGACAGGAAGAACATCTGACATAATCTCCCATGATGTCAAATCTGATAAAGGAGCTCTCATTATTTTGTCAGTGACAATTGCATTCTTTCTTGGTGCAAAATCGGTTGTGGAGTTGTATGAATACATTGAAGTAATTCCTCCAAAAATATACACATAATCACCGATAGGAACAAGCATACCAGAGGCTACAGGAACTGGTAAAGTAAAATTGCAAAGTTCCCAATCGTTTTGCAGGTCGTAGATGGGGCATCTATAGACACTATTCGAAACTTCGTCATTGACAAAACCTCCAAACAAGTAGACATACTCGTTACGCTTTAGCATATGAGAATTGTAAATCGAGTCAGGAAAGCCAGTTCCAGTTTTGGCATTGAATTCAATGAGTTTCCATTCATAATCTCCTTTTGTGATGTTGGAAACGTACATGTTAAATCCATTGTTCCTTCTTGTTGGAATGGTATTTTCTTGTTTCAGTAAATATGCCAAATCTCCCATATCAAAGTAGATTGGTTTGCGATGATACCAAACAAGGTTCATGTTGTTTTGATGGTTAACATTGGTGAAGGTTCCTCCAATATGATATACAAATCTTTTAGGTACAGTAACGTTATTCCAGAAGGGAGGATTCAAATCTATACATTCATGATTCATGAACATAAGAGTGTTTGGGCATTTTCCAGTTGCTTGTATGGAACCATCCGCATAGAATATGAACGAGTTGTCTTCGTTTGATGAAATGTCGACAATAGGTTGAAGAGAATGTTTGACCAAAGTTGGACGTAAAATATTTGAACCAATTGAACCAGTTCCTGTTTGTCCAATATCATTCTTTCCCCATGAGAATAATCTCTTGTCAGAACAAATCACAAAATTAACAAACCCTCTTGTGTGAATTCTCTCTGCAACACAAGATAAATTATTATAGAGATAGGAAACAAATATTGGAACAAGTGAATTCAATGTTGAACCATCTCCAAGTTGTCCATTTTCATTAGATCCCCATGAATAAACCATTCCATCAGTTGTGAGAAGTAAATTATGTTTCGTTCCACATTGAATATCTGAAATCTGTCTTCCTTGTAAATTATTTAATTTTACCTTAACTGGTTCACCTTGCGTTACTGTGTCATTTGTTCCTAATTGTCCAAAAGTGTTATCACCAAATGAAACCAAAATATTGTCACTTGTGAGAGCAATTGTATGGCTCTGACCTGCACAAACTCTAACAACGGTCCTATTACGGAGAGGTCCAAGCAACTGATAGACAGCGAAAGGTCGGTTCTTGTCATCAAATGTTCGATCACCAAGTTGGCCCTGGTCGTTAGCACCCCATGCCCATAATTTTCCATATTCATCAATGGCAAATGCAGAATTATAACCCAAAGCAATCTGCTCAATTTTGTTACCCATACTAAAGCCATTCACAAATGTAGCTTGAACTTTGGTTTTTGTACCTCCTGTAGCGAGTTGTGATCGATCGTTCAGTCCAAATGAATATACTCCCTTATTGGTCAATACTAAGTTTGAATATCTATTGGCTTCAAATTGATAAATTTCAAGACCGTCTAAACCTTCGACTGGATACTTGTACAAAAGTCGAGAGTCTTGAACGGTTCTTCCCAAGTTTCCTTCATTGTACACTCCTGTTGAATAGAGTTTGCCATTGGGCATCAATACAAGAACGTGTTCCAATCCTGCTGATATTCTGTTGCGTATTCTTGTGATGTTCAAAGGGTTAGCGGTTTCGAATTGTTGGAAGAGTCCTCGTTTAGAATTAAGGTAAAAATGTTCGTTTTGTGTTGTTTCAAAGTCCATTTGTCTGAAAAATAATTCATCTGAATAAGTTTCTTGAGTGTAATTCTATTAAAAGGGCCGAATTATGGAATTACACCCAGGTCAGCATTATTATTATTGAGTGTTTGATCAAGAAAGTTTGATTGTATGTTCACAAACAGTAGTTAACAATGAAAATAAAAATGTAAATACATGGAACAAACTCAAATATGGTTTGGCAAAATCTCTTAACTTACATTGACGAGAGTGGCTACATCATAACCGAGAGAATCAATCGAGTGTTTGGTGAGTGTAATCAAATTGGTCAACTCTAACTCTAAACTCATTGCTTTTACAAGTTCTTGTCTTTTGAGAACATTCATCTGATCAAAAACTGTTGAATTAATATCCAGAGCGTCTAACACAACAGAAGCTTTGTCGAGAGCATCCTTTGTGTTCACTAATTTTTGTTTGGATTTGGATTCAAAAAAGTTTTTTAACTCTGGTTTCAAGTCTGACTCTAATACTGTAATGTAACTGAGTTGTTTATCTTTCAATATTTTGGCTAATTCCATCTCAAGCTCTTGTACTCTGTTGTCTGTATCTATACCGACAATTAGGAGTGGTGAGATACAAGCTTGGTGAGATGAAATTCAACATGCACACACGTTGCGGATATGATCGGGTTGCCATCATGATACACCGTGGCAATATAACAAATAAGAATAGAGAGATATAAGGGCAATGGCCGTCCCATCATGTGTTTACTTACCATTGAGCAGCAAGGCTACTAGCAACCATGCCATCACCTTCGTTGTTGTTGGGCCAGTCATTCGGTTGTATTTTTTTGCTACTGTAATTGTACCCTCAATATACAGTAAAAAAAACAAAACCGGCAATGAACCCAACAACAACGAAGGTGATGACGGCATTGTTGCTTGTAGCTTTGCTGCTCAATGGTAAGTAAACACATGATAGAACGGCTCAAAGCTTACACTAATCTATATAACAATAAAATCATCATATTCACATACTATTGATGGGTATGTGCCTATGATGAATAATATCCACGACCTTCTTGCTTTATTGAATATCATCGGTGAATGAATGCCACATTCCTGTTCAATACCATAAAGCTATAAATGCATCCGTCATTGGAAGAAAAAGCAGCACAACAGGCGGTTCTCTTTCCACTGAGGATTTAGAAATGGCACATCGCCTCAGGGACAAAAGAACAAGCTATAATTCCGTTCTCGAGGATGATTTGAAAAAACAATTCCGAGACTTTTACGATTCAAAGGTGAAACAAAAATTGGTGGATACCACTGACGCATTGGATCAAGCCTCCTCTCGTTTAACAGAGCTAAATATTAACGAAACAGTGTTCGCAACATTGACATCGGCAAAGGAAGCCGATCTCATGGCTTCCATTAGTACTGAATTAGAGTTGAAAAAGACTCTTGTTTTGACTCAATTTTCAGCCGAGAAAATATCGGAAAATTTGCTGACGCTTGTGAATGTAAGTTTGTTGAAGGTTTGAAAATTCAATTTTTGTTTGATTTTGATGGCATTTCCGTTTAACTTGACCAACAAAAAATGCTCCTCACCGCACATTCAACCTCCTCTCAACAAACAGAACTACACATCAACCACATTCGGAGAAGAGGTATTCGTTAGACAATTCACATCTGAATATGCAAATGATCATCATTTTCATTTGAACTCAAGACGTGGTTTTTTTCCCTCTCTTGAGAGATCCCACAAAAAGGGTATCATTAGAATTCGAAATAGAATAGCTGCTGGTGCTGATCACGTTCTTGTATTGATGCCCGATGGAAAATTACACTCAACAGGGTCTTATTTTGAAGGTAATTTGGGAAGATCGTATAAGGATTCAAGATTGCTTTTCAGGCTACCTGTTGAAGCACTTGATGACTTAGAAATTTATCAATTCGAAGTTAATACCCACAGCAATTTAGTTTTGACCAACAAGGGGATTTATACTTTTGGAGTGAACAGTGATTTTCAATTGGCGACTGGTTTAATCTCGAACGTTTACATTCCCACAAGAATGAATGGCTTTGGAGGAAAAATTATAACACAAATTGCACTTGGATATAATGCAGGATATGCCATCGATGAGAATGGAAAATTATGGGCATGGGGTGCCAACGATAAGGGTCAGCTTGGTGATCGAACATTTGATCCAAAAAGTAGGCCATTCGCTGTCTATTTTTATGGAATACTAAAAGGAAAGATTGTTTCCAGAGTATGTGCAGGTAAAAACTATGCGATCGCGCTCACAACTGATAACACACTCATTGCCTTTGGTGATAACACTTTTGGACAATTAGGAACAAATGACACAGTAACGCAAGGTGAACCAGTTAAGGTAAAATTAAATAATTTACAAGGAAGACAGATTTCAGATATTCAATGTGGAACGAAACATAATTTACTTCTCACAACTGATGGAATGGTTTATTCATGGGGATCTAATGAAAATGGACAACTTGGAGATGGTTCAACATTGAATTCACTTGTTCCAATATTTGTTTCCTATCTCTATAATAATTTATCTTGTGTTGCAGAGAGAATTCACACAAGAGGGTTTGTTAATTTTGTGATTTGTTCTGACAAGAGATTATTCTCATGGGGAAAGAATGATATTGGACAAACAGGAACTGGTTCAATTGGTTCAAATATTTTACGTCCAACTTTGGTCAAACATTCTCTTCAACCTATTGTCGACATTGCTACTTCTGAAAAATCTTCGTACATTTTCTATGCGGATGGTTCGATTTTTGCGACAGGAAAATGTCAAAACACTAGAATGTTCTTCAATCATGATTGCATTGACACATCACCATTATATTGGAATGGAATTACTTACACGGAACGATTTCTATTCAACTTGGACGGATATTTCACTCCCGTTTCCATGCAAAATGATCTTCATCTTGCTTGGTATTACCGTAAACCTGTCTATTTTGAAATGGGAGATTTGGCATATTTACTGAAACAAGAAAATACCATTCCAACAAGAAGGAACAATGGATTTAATATGTATGTTTTGAACAATACTGAGAACAATAATGGAGAAGAATGGAAGCTTGTAGAATACGATTCGTATAAGAACTATGGATTTCCTGACTCGATTTACAACACTCATTTCCTCAAACACAATGAATATTTTTATCTGTTCGGAGGTTTTGTGAATGATGAAGTTTCGGACAAGATTTATCGATGTCCAATTTTTAGTTTAGACAAAGAATGGGAATTGTTACCTTTCACACTTCCCACACCTATTGCTTCCGGTGTTTTAGTTTCTAGTGGAGATTATGTGTATATTTTTGGAGGAATTACTTCAATGTATTCATACAACTCCACAACCGATTTTGCACCAAGAAAGAATGCAATTGTCACTGACAAAATAATGAGAGCTCCTTTATCAGATTTGACATCATGGGAGATTATGTCAGATGTTCTTCCTGTCCCTATTCATTCTGCATTTTGGGAAATTATGGATGGCTATATTTATTTATTTGGTGGTTCAAGAAGATTTGGAACCTCTCAAAACAACATATTTAGAGCCTCACTACTAACTCCAAATGTTTGGGAACACACCTTCAATGTTTTACCCTATTTCATGATAAATACCGGCCAAATATCATCTGCTGATGGTGACATTTCCTTGTTTGGAGGCACTAATTCTACCTCTGGTGTGGGAGGTCCATATGGTGTTTATGCTCACAAACGTGATTTAATGTGGAATGCAATGTTTGATGTAAATCGAACAAAAAGTTGGTGTTCGGCGTATCCTTTCATGTGTTATACTTGTTTTGGTTTCGAAGCAACCAATCCTCAAGTATGCTCCGGATTAGGAAGGTGTATGGATTATGACAAGTGTGACTGTCCAACAGGAATTTCTGGAAATAACTGTGATAAAACTAGTATTGTAGCTTTTAATGGAATAAGAAGGTATGCTGATGGAACAGCTGCTACTTCGTGTCAAGAATACAAATATCCAACAAATTCAAGCAAATTGTACTCAGGTCTCACTGGTTCTGGAGTGTACATGATTCAAAATGATACGAACATTCCTCCTGTCGCTGTTTTTTGCAACATGCTGACAACTCCTCCATCAACAGCAAATTACACTCTATTTCTTGACAGAGTTGGATTTGTGGTCAATATTAAAGAGCGGCACCTCAAATATGGAATTACAGATCCTACTCTACTCCAACTCAATAACGAAGGCAATGGAATTTATCAAATATCAATTCCCTCACTAATACCAAGTTCAATGCTTTGCTTGACACCCCTGACGGGTTCCGAAATTCTTTGCAGCTACTCTGGAGTATGCTTTACAGACGCGAATGGAAGCACCCAATGCTTGTGTGGAGTTGGTTATTCGTCTCAGTCAAACGGAACCTCATGTGTCCGAACAATCTAATTCTGTATAAATATTAACTATTTCCTATTTGAAGATGTTTTCTAGCTCACCAGTTTCCATCGCTACCACTTTGTCAATTTGACACAAATCAATACTTCACAAAAGACAATCCACCAGCTGGCATGTCGTTAATCCAATCTAATTGCAACAGGAATTTCGACCTCTTTTGCATTAATTTGTGCCCATGTATTCGAGTTCTGCCAGAACCCAAAGAAGGAAAGTCCTCAAAGCAATCATTGCCTTCCAACGACAATCCTCTGGCACAAATATCCCTCCCTCATTTTATAGCTATCCCTACTTTTCAAGCCGATTACAAAACAATCACTTCTCAGTAAAGGTTCTCCAGGCTATATCAAGTACTTGATTGAATGTACTATATATCCTTCAATTTTGAAAGTTTAATTCGTTGTATATATTTGGAAAATAAAGAGAGTTCACGATAAATACGGTATTTGGTTCGTTGTAATTCTGTAAACAAAGCAAAAACATTATACAAAATATCATTTATTAATAAGCGTACTGTGTGAGTTGCAAGGTGTCGTCAGGCAGCTGCAACGAATTCGATCTCATCACAATGTCATTATGTTTGAGTGCCTTTGTTTTGATTGTTGAATTTCATCATGATCAGTTATTCTTATCCGATTAATTTTACTCGTATGTTGTTGTTGTTGAAGTGTATTTAATGTGATGATTATGTTGAAGAGCTGTGATTAGAGGAGGGAGCTATTGTTGTTGTTGCGGTGCTTGTTATTGATATGTGAAAGAGTGATGATTGCTCTCATTATTCTCTCCTCATCATCATGTGATTGAATTCTTGTGTACAAGATCATTCATTTCATCATTCAACATGTTTTTGAATGGTTATGATTGTCATCAAGTGGAGTTCTTATTGTTATTCGGAAGTGAATCTAATGAAATCATATCAACAAATATAATGATGAATTTGGTTTTATTGTTGTTTCTTTGGAATGTTCGGATGTGTTTAGTGAATGATAGTCTTGTTTATTCCCTTTGGATGTTCGGATGTGTTTAATGGATACTATTCATGTGCTTTCAGTTGAATGTGGTTATTGATGTGAGTTGGAAAGCATGTATGGAGGATTTGATATCATTACTGTTCATTGAATGTTGTGCTTGTGTGATGAATTTAGATAAAATTTAAATTTGTTGTTATATTTTGCATGTGTTCATGATACGATCATGAAATCGATTCTTTTCCATCCATTGAGATGTGTATTAGCAATACATCAAGAATGGTGTTGATCTGTTGAGTATTCGTTGTGGTGAATCGTTTGCTTCTTGTGTACTCTTTGGGTTTGGGTTTGGGTTTGGGTTTGGGTTTGGGTTTGGGTTTGGGTTTGGGTTTGGGTTTGGGTTTGGGTTTGGGTTTGGGTTTGGGTTTGGGTTTGGGTTTGGGTTTGGGTTTGGGTTTGGGTTTGGGTTTGGGTTTGGGTTTGGGTTTGGGTTTGGGTTTGGGTTTGGGTTTGGGTTTGGGTTTGGGTTTGGGTTTGGGTTTGGGTTTGGGTTTGGGTTTGGGTTTGGGTTTGGGTTTGGGTTTGGGTTTGGGTTTGGGTTTGGGTTTGGGTTTGGGTTTGGGTTTGGGTTTGGGTTTGGGTTTGGGTTTGGGTTTGGGTTTGGGTTTGGGTTTGGGTTTGGGTTTGGGTTTGGGTTTGGGTTTGGGTTTGGGTTTGGGTTTGGGTTTGGGTTTGGGTTTGGGTTTGGGTTTGGGTTTGGGTTTGGGTTTGGGTTTGGGTTTGGGTTTGGGTTTGGGTTTGGGTTTGGGTTTGGGTTTGGGTTTGGGTTTGGGTTTGGGTTTGGGTTTGGGTTTGGGTTTGGGTTTGGGTTTGGGTTTGGGTTTGGGTTTGGGTTTGGGTTTGGGTTTGGGTTTGGGTTTGGGTTTGGGTTTGGGTTTGGGTTTGGGTTTGGGTTTGGGTTTGGGTTTGGGTTTGGGTTTGGGTTTGGGTTTGGGTTTGGGTTTGGGTTTGGGTTTGGGTTTGGGTTTGGGTTTGGGTTTGGGTTTGGGTTTGGGTTTGGGTTTGGGTTTGGGTTTGGGTTTGGGTTTGGGTTTGGGTTTGGGTTTGGGTTTGGGTTTGGGTTTGGGTTTGGGTTTGGGTTTGGGTTTGGGTTTGGGTTTGGGTTTGGGTTTGGGTTTGGGTTTGGGTTTGGGTTTGGGTTTGGGTTTGGGTTTGGGTTTGGGTTTGGGTTTGGGTTTGGGTTTGGGTTTGGGTTTGGGTTTGGGTTTGGGTTTGGGTTTGGGTTTGGGTTTGGGTTTGGGTTTGGGTTTGGGTTTGGGTTTGGGTTTGGGTTTGGGTTTGGGTTTGGGTTTGGGTTTGGGTTTGGGTTTGGGTTTGGGTTTGGGTTTGGGTTTGGGTTTGGGTTTGGGTTTGGGTTTGGGTTTGGGTTTGGGTTTGGGTTTGGGTTTGGGTTTGGGTTTGGGTTTGGGTTTGGGTTTGGGTTTGGGTTTGGGTTTGGGTTTGGGTTTGGGTTTGGGTTTGGGTTTGGGTTTGGGTTTGGGTTTGGGTTTGGGTTTGGGTTTGGGTTTGGGTTTGGGTTTGGGTTTGGGTTTGGGTTTGGGTTTGGGTTTGGGTTTGGGTTTGGGTTTGGGTTTGGGTTTGGGTTTGGGTTTGGGTTTGGGTTTTGGGTTTGGGTTTGGGTTTGGGTTTGGGTTTGGGTTTGGGTTTGGGTTTGGGTTTTGGGTTTGGGTTTGGGTTTGGGTTTGGGTTTGGGTTTGGGTTTGGGTTTGGGTTTGGGTTTGGGTTTGGGTTTGGGTTTTGGGTTTGGGTTTTGGGTTTGGGTTTGGGTTTGGGTTTGGGTTTTGGGTTTGGGTTTGGGTTTGGAGTTTGGGTTTGGGTTTGGGTTTGGGTTTGGGTTTTGGGTTTGGGTTTGGTTTGGGTTTGGGTTTGGGTTTGGAGCAAT